TGAATGCCCTTGCATTTACTAGACATGTGTTAGTCTTGTATGTATAAGACGTTCACAACGTGACGGGACAACAGTGTAATGAGTAATTGAATGTATGCGGACAGAATATTGTTGGCCACGTGAAACGTGAGTTATAGCGTTTGTTATAGAGCGACTGTTGAAATTAAGTGTATCGTAAAGTTGTATTCGGAAAGAATAAACCAGTTTTATTTAAGAAAGGACTTGTGTCGCTAAAGTTTAGTCGGAAAGAATTTACGGAAAATTAATTAACGAACGGAGACTTAACAATACAAATGTTCGTTATACTGTTGCATCCAGAGCTTTAGATAATTGTTTCTTTTTCATCAAAGTCCTCACAGGTTGATTCAAATACTACCCCCCCCCCCCCGCCCAGTGGCACAGCGGTATGTCTACGGACTTACAACGCTAGAATCCAGGTTTCAATACACGTGGTGGGCAGAGCACAGATAGCCCATTGTGTAGCTTTGTGCTTTATTACAAACAAACAAATCAATTACTTTAGAACAGTGGTCGGCAACCTATGACCCGCGAAATGATTTGGCTGACCCGTCAAATGTTGCTTCACCGTTGCAACCCATGAGGGCACAATCACTGCTCAATTCAAATTTCTCGTCTATGTGAGAAGAACAAAGAAAAGGAAAGAGGGGAAAGAATTACGGCTACAGAGAATTTTAAGATCAATGTTAGGGGAAAATCTTCAAGCTGGTCGAACTATTTTTGATAAAACTTTTAACCCTAATGCTTCAGGTGTAGTGTGCTGTCATTAGCCGAGAAATTCCTTACTTGTCTGGCGGAAAGTGCTGTGTGTGATATATTTTTGTGTTTTTATAGGTTTTGAGGTGAGTATGTGGCAAATTATTTATACTTACAGGTAAATAATTGTTTCAGGCTATATACAAGTGACGGTAGTGTTTTACTTGTGGCAACAGAACAGAGGTGTAGGCTAGATAAGTTGCTACTTTTCTTTTTCATTAGGTTGAAGACTGGATGACATGTGCATCGCCACCTCACTACTCGCATTGCTGAGACTGAACAACGTGTAAAAAATGTACCAGGGAAATAATTAAATTATGTGCTACAAAATCAATCAATAACTGTTTATTTCTTGTTGTTAAATGTATTTGGTGACTGAATCATCTTGTTTTTTTTAAATAATTAATTTTGTTTGTTGTATGTAAATAAACATACATGTACCGGTATTAAGGTTATATGACTATCACTGACCCAACATAATGCACATTTAAAAAAATAATAATAATATTTGACCCGCGATCAAAATAGTTTGCCGACCACTGCTTTAGAGCATAATTAACAATAATTATTCTTTTCTACTCTGTTATTACATTACAGTCTGTGGTTATTTCGCTATGAAAATCGCCACTATACACTCTTTATCGCTAAACTCACAACCATACAGTCTAGAACATTCCACGCAATACTAGATAATCTGTTGCAATAATAATCACTCAAATCAATGAAAAACTCAGAAAGTTCAATCAACATGAAGCAATAATCTCACTATTGTAAACAATCGCTAGTTCATAACAATTGAACTACACAACGTGTGATTCGTAAATAGTTATGTAAAGAAACTTATCATGTGATATCGCTTCTAAATATAACTGAACATGACTGACACTCACGCTATATAAACAATATAAATCGTAATGCTTGTATTAAACTGAAACTGAAACAGTCGTGTATATCTAACATAAAAAACATCTATATCGAAATATTAATAATGTTGTTTGCAACCCTTCCTCTTCCTAGATTGTGAAGTTTTTTGAACAATCCTGATACACAAACAAAACAATACACTAAATTGTTCATTCACCAAGTCTTTTAGGTGGTTTTCTTCTCAAAGAGTTATGGTATACAGATGGGATAGCCCGTTGTTCATTTTCGTTTGTTTGTTTGTAATTAAGCACAAAGCTACACAATGGGCTATCTGTGCTCTGCCCACCACGGGTATCGAAACCCGGATTCTAGCGTTGTAAGTCTGCAGACATACCACTGTGCCACTGGGGGGCCCGTTGTTCATTGTCTTAACTTATCATTCTGTCACTGAGGGAGTTCTCCTTGTATAGGTAGTCGAACAATTTTACTGATAGCTTTATATTGGTGATCTACTAGAAATGGTCTGGACAGGAACCTTGAGCTCTTCAGTAAATTGACTTTCCACAAGTAAATTTTTCTCTGAAGTTACCCAGTTAACAGATGAGTACAATATTCTAAGGCAGTTCAGAGAGAGAGTACACTCCTTTTGTCACTAAAATGTAGCAGTTCAAATGTCAACACAAATTCACCACAATCCATTTCATGCAGTAAAGGCTGTGTCCTCTCTACTTGTTTTATCGACTTGAATTTGCCAACATACACTCTTAAGATTCAATTTAATCCAAACAGAACAGCCAAAGTATAATCAATGCATGACAGTGGGCAGGCAACTTTCTTTGGGACGTACTTCACTAGGAGTACACAAAAGCTTGTAGATCATTCCTTCTTCTTCACAAGTACAATAGGCAATGCCCATGGTTTATTACTCAGTTCTATTACTACTTCTTCCTTCATGGTTGATATCTCTTTGAAAGTCTCAGCCTTTTTAGCTAGTGAGAATCATCTAGCTAACTGATGTTTTGAGGCTGCATGTCCAGTATCAAACTTATGTGATCTTTTATTTGTGTTGTCTAGGTTGTGAGGTCCCCTGGAGAAGGTATTTGGATATTCTGTGAGCAAGCCATGTAATCTATGTCATTTATCAGTTATAAGACCTCCACAGCTCCAGTCATACAGGTCTTGGAAGTCAGGTGGTAAGCTGTCCTTACGTGAGGATTTGACGTCAGACTCCCTATACCCTGTCTCAAAGGTGACTACTTCTGATATTCTTCGATGTTGAAGTACTACTTGTACAGCTTCACATCTTGCAATGTCCAATCCAGACTTGAATTTTTATGTTTTTTTGTGTTCATGGCTCTAATGATGATGGCTTTATTTTCAAATCTACGAGATTATGTCTAACTATTAATTCTTCAGAACATGCTGAAGCATTTGATTCCCGGTTACTAGATATAAATTTATTTCTAATAATGGAAGTTCAACCTGTGATGTAGTAATTATCATATAGTGCATATGGATTTTCTAGTCATAAACTGTGAAGCTATTTGATGCTAGCCTAACCTCGAATTCATGTCCTCAATGTCAATTACCCCAACATCAGGTGTAGAGAAACTTTCAACAATAAGGGTAACTTCCAACTTTACTCGTACTGGAACTTTACGTTGCCCACTTGATGTTTGCATCAATCAATTTTCTTTCTTCATTGTGAGAGGCAATTTCCCACCTACATTACCAAGTTGAGTCAAATCATTGTAGCTCTATAATCTGTGTTGATCAACATATTGTAAACATTCCCATCAATAAACCTGTGGACGCATGGACTGATT